GATAAGATATGGTGGCATTATAGAAGCTGTTGCTGCTGCTCTTTTCCAAGTGCAAAATTTAGTGAGTTTGAAGAAGTGATTCCATCTGTATATATCTGTATACCAGGATTATCGATTGTGTAAAGACCTCTTGGAAGAGAAACTAAATGCTCTGGCTTTAAACATAAGCTATCAGAGGTCAAGATGGGATCTAATGTAGAGGATGAACTTGAATTTTGCACGTTCTTGCATGTCTTGAGGTTGGTCATCAAAATCAGAGAAAATAATTTTTATACTGGGAATTTTAATGTGGAAATCATGGAATAGTCTGTAGCTTAAGCAGGTTGGATAAAACCACTAAACCCTGGCTTCCTACACCAGGCAAGAAGTAGTATTTTTCTAGATTAAAATTCACTTTTATAATTGGATAAACACTCCAAATGTGACTTGCTTTCTTCCTAGTACTTTTTTAAGTGAAGAAAGGGTGTTTTAAACCAGAACTTCATGCAATTTTCCAGGTAATAAAGCTTAAAGGTATTTGTGACTACTGTCTCTTTATGGATTGATATGTGGTGATAATTTCATAATAGAGAAATAATAAATAGGTTTGCAAATCTTGCATATCACCTGGGAAGTGAGAGGACATAACATCAGAATGGTACAAGCTCTTGTGTGTTTGCCATGACCATAACTGCTAAAGACCAAGCAAGGTAACAGTAAGAACACATGGGTATGCTTTATGGACAAGTTTTCAGTGAATGCTGTCTTGCTTTTGCCAAAGGAATTGTTTCCAGATTGCAGGACTAAAAATGACAAAGTTACTTGGTTCCTGTGAAGAGGAACAAGTTGACAGATGCTACCCCTGGTTTCAGTAAGCTCTGACAGAGGCAGAAGATACTTTGAGGGGAAGATCTGCAGATGGGATTTCTTCCTTCTGTAATCCCTTGGGGAAGGCAGACAGACATCTGGTTAGTGGGCTTATATTTAGACTGTTAAGCAGTTGTATCAGGTGTCTTTGTGGTTTTTTTTATTGTTGTTTGGTTTGTTTTTTGTTTAGTTCTTTTTAATATTAAAAAAAAATCTGGTCTTTACAAAGTGTGTTTGTTCACCAGTTGCGGCTGGTGTTTCTGAGAAAACAGTTTGTGAAGCAAGTCTTAAGTCAGATCTGCTAGGTAAATTGTAGGGATTTTTAATAAATATGGCAATGTATCTACCCTGACAAGATAATGTAATCCTTATTACTCCTCCAAACAATTTGACAGATGCCTGAAAGCTAGAAATTGTGCTCAGAAACACTAACAGGGATCAGAATTGGGAATTACTTGGCTATTATGACATTTCTTATACAAATCTTGTTCTGCGTTCTTGTAGCAGGTATCTGAAGTATATTGCTGTCTACTTCTCACAAGTTCTGTATGCATGCTGAAACTTTAATTTATCTTGTAGAGGTTCCCCATGTTTCCTATCCTTTTTGGAAATAAAGCACCAGTCAGTTTGCAGATGACACCAAGCTGGGTGGGAGTGTTGATCTGCTGAAGGGTAGGAAGGCTCTACAGAGGGATCTGGACAGGCTGGATCGATGGGCCGAG